TCATGACCGACGCTGGTCACATGCTGTCGGATTTGCTGTCGTTCATCATCTCGATAATGGCCATTCGAACAGCGCGGCAACCACGTTCGTTTTTCGCACTTTTTTGGTGCTATCGAAATATACGGGGGCATCCTCTAGGAATAAGCCTAGGAGAGGGCAGGAACTTCGGAAAAAAAAATGAAAATAGCTCACGCACATCAGAGTGTCTCTTCCAAGCCTAAGGCTTTGTCCTATTTTTGAAAGGAAGGACATATTTTACGCCTAAATATACTGCCACCACAATGCCCCCGTATCTTGCGATAGCCCCCTTTTTCTTCTTTCTCATATTCATTCAATTATGTCGTAGATAAGGAACGAACTTACTGGTTATGCTTACGGTACTTAATCCCTTTTTTCATGAGTCATCCCATGATGGCTATTGAGAAGAGTGGAAGGGGTGAGATTCGTGTAGCAGTGACTAACGTGAGGTGTAGAAGGGGCGGGGTTCTATCAAAATGGCCCAGAAGACGTAGAAAGGGCGAGGCGTTCGTGCAATATTGAACTTGATTACGTCCATTCTAGATTCGTCTCTCGCTTCAGAAACCCCGTCCCTGCGGTGGGCAACAAGGGATGGGATTTCTGGAGCGGTGCTTAAGAGGCGAAGTAGATAGGGCCGAGTTTCGTCAAATTGGCCCAGAGATCGTGCTAAAGAGCGAGGCTTCCGCGTGGTGGTTCAGAGCTCAGGAAATAGCTGAAAGGATGGGAGAAGCCCAACAGCACAACCATATATTGGCGTTTTTGACTGATTTAGAAAGCTCCAATATTTTTGAGCTTTTTTATGTCCCAATACTAATAATCGATAATTTCAGCAAGCAAACGTCTTTCGTGGGGATATGATCGAGCAGAAGTATTGGGTGCGATGATTTCTGTCATTATCCTTTGGGTGCTCACAACGGTGCTGGTACTGTTGGCCATTGAACGAATTGTGAACAACAAGCTGTGTAAGTGATTTTCAGCAGTTATAGCCACTAAACAGTTGTGCAGTTGACAGTTTTACAGTAGCACAATCGTTATTTAAGCTGTGGACGCTGATGTGATGCTGATCACAGCTAGTGTTGGAGTTGGATTCAACATTATCATGGGTATTGTGTTACATTTTGGAAGTGGTGGACATGGACACACTCATGGAGGAGCCAGTCATGGGTGAGGACTTTTCTTTGAAGGCGGAGTTTACGATTAGAAGGCAGCCCATTAGATATTAAGGCTAGGTAGAGAAGATAGGTCAGTCGGTTGCACGAGATAAAGAAACAATCTTGAGAAACGGTTTATACTCAAAAGTGAGACCACTTTCCTTTGCCATTCGTTTCCGTATATGATGCGACGTCTCAACGCTGCTGCCACTTTCTACAGCTTAGCGCCCTCTAGCAAAACGGCTAGAGACCTGTCTTCGAGATAAATCAGACCGGAACGGCTGAGCGTGCCGCCGAAAGCGCCGCGGGTATTATGCTAAAGGGGAAAAAAAAAAATGTTGTCCAGGGGGGGGGGCGCAACCAAAAAATTTTTTATTTCCTATTGTCGACCAATTTTCGTGTTCGGTCGTACCCTAGAGGTTCCTTCTACTGCTTTTAATTAATTGAGTTAACTTAACTTTCTCGATCCTCCACTATATCGTGGAATCGTTAAATTATCAATGGACTTTTTTTTGGATCGCTAGAAGGAGGTACCTCTGAGCACTTTCTCACGTTTATTCGCTTTTTAAATCGGACTTGTGCTGAACGCGTGCCGCATCGCTCGTACGAAGCGAATTCGATTCGGATCGACAACAAGTATATCCGGCTTTAGGTCGAATAACACCAGAAAGTGAACAGTCACCCTGGAATCAGTGACAGCCTTAGCACCTTGTCACGCGACGCGACCGCGCGCGACAACTCCAGTACGACTATGGGCGACGATATGTGAACGACAGCAATACTTTCCACGTTAAAGCTTTTACCGATTTTTTTGATAGGAGGGGTAAATGTGTTGACGATAAACGATGATCAAGTCATGTGTGTGCAAAAAATAGATGATGTTGTTATGCGCATTGATTGATGATGGCGTAAATCCCTAAAATACAGGAGACGGTATGAGCTATTAATAAATAGTAGCAATATTTGCAATAGGGAGAAGGGATCATAGAAGCTTTATTGGCGCTATTATACGGGGGCATCCTCTAAGTCCATGCCTAGGAGGGGCATGAGCTTCGAAAGAAATGAGATTGATCACGCACCCCGGAGATTCTCATCTTCTACCTAAATCTTAGGCTCTTTTCTGATGTTTTACGCGGTATTAAATGCGTTGCCACCACAATGCCCCCGTATTTTGCGATAGCGCCACTTTATCTACTGGTTCTGAAAGCTTTACAATTATCCATTTATTTTTTCAGTCATTCCCATGGTGGCAAAAACGTCAACGTTCGAGCGGCGTTCATTCACGTTATCGGCGATCTGATCCAATCGATTGGTGTGCTTATTGCAGCTCTAGTCATCAAGGTAGGGTATTCCTTCATAGGCATAATATTTTTATTCGTATTTTCAATATAATTTACTGTTTAGTTCACTGGCTGGGAATTGGCGGATCCGATTTGCACGTTCCTTTTCTCGATAATCGTATTGTTCACCACGATTCACGTACTACGAGATATCTTCTTTGTTCTCATGGAAGGTATGGTATTTATTCATTTACCTATTTTGTCATACTTTTCATGGTCTGATTTTTTGATTTTAATGTTTTGGTTGTTTTTTGCATGCTTGTAAAAATTTAAATCCTCTAAACTATGTTTATAGCCACGCCCCGTCATTTGGATTTCAATGCAGTGAAAGAGGATCTCGCCGCCATAAATTATGTTCAAAGTGTACATGACCTACATATGTGGTCACTAAACATGGAAAAGACTGCTCTTTCAGTACATCTTGCAATTGGTGGGTGTTACAGGGTTTTTATTGACATGACCTACAGGCGTGTCCTCTCTTTGGTTCATTTCTTAAAGGGCGATAATTTTGTTAAAGATTAAAAAGGGTTGCTGCAGGGGAGTCAGAGCAATAGTTAAATGTGGCGCGTTTCGCGGCTAGAGGCGTTTTTGAATGAAGTTAGCAGAGCCCTACAGGATTCCTCTTCGAAGTTCGCTCCGCCTTCAAATGACTGCCCCAGCCTCTGGACTTTACTCGTCTGCGCTCTAGCCCTTGTAACAGAGAGTCATAATATGGCGTTACCGCTAATGATTGCATCTCCTATGGAAACTCGTCTAAAGCTGCACATCAACAACATTGTCCGCGGAGTTCAGGCCGTCTCGCTTGGTTTCATTTTTCGTTGCCGCACCACTTAATTACTTCAACTTTAATTTTTTCAGCCTCAAAAAATACCCATGACCTGACTTTACCTGATCGTTAAGGCACATACTCGACTGAATAAATGTGCATTTTAAGGATGCATAGCGCGCTGTGGATGTGGTAGAGATTGCCTCTTAGCGCTCTTCCGCCAATGACATTCAAAGACGTCATCGAAACAGTACTATCCTCTAGCCATCGCGATTGATGCCATTAAGACGAGGCCCCTTGCCCTCTTACAATGGAAGTCTTCGCAGAGAAAATGCAGCGATGTTTCGACTTCTGCATTTAGTTGGGGTTTTGAGTAACAAAGGAATGTCTAAACAGTGGTGGTGAAGAAATGGTCCAGAGTTCGATCCCGGTGATGAACATTTTTGCAAAATAGTTTGGCGCCCCAGATTGCCGCCAAATGGCGCCATCGTCGAGATTAGATGTCACTGTCGTGTTTTGCGGCAATTTTGGAGGCGCCAACATGAATTGCAAAAATTTGTCATCACGGAGGATCGAACTTTGGACCATTTCTTCCCCGCTGTTTTGACATTCCTGAAGGCGTCCAGGAAAAGGACATGGTTCTTTGTTCGCCAGGTAAGCCTCTAGAACATTCAAAAACCCATTTCGAGGAAAAAATGCTCCGTGTCCTGAAACGCCCCCCCCCCCTTGGTAGGCATTTCTCACACTGTTGTAACATCCATCGTTGTTTATTTGTGGTAATAATTTTAGAATTCAGCAGGTTTCCGCGAGTAATCGTTTCTTCGTTGCAGATTCGTCAGAACACGCTCTCAGTACGGTAACTGCGGCGCGTACATTGATTCGACAAAAGTACGGTATTTCCAAAGCTACCGTACAAGTGGAATCTTACGATAAGAGCATGAACTCATGCGATCAGTGTTTGACGTAACAACCGAATAGGAGTGGATCGAAACGGAACGCGCATTCCGCTGGAAGGCCTTTGATTCAGGCGTGTGGGTGTTGTGGATGTGCAGCATATTGTCCAGACTTTACTATTATATTTTATATTGTAGTAATTAGGTCAGCTTTCTGTCTATAATTTAAGGTCTAGTTATTTATTAAGGGTATCATAGCGACTCGCCTTTTAGGCTCATGAGATGCTCAGGATTATAGCTTGATGCTCTTAAATTGCCTTCTTTACCACTTAATGCTTATTGATTTATTGATTGTCACTTCTGAAGTGTAAACGCTCAGCTGAGAAGCACTTGTCGACTTCTATGTATGCCATCTTATCGTTCCCGCGATTGTGTATGGATTTTTTCCCAAGCATAACATCCAGAGAACAGGTCACAAGTAGTCTACTGAGTGTGGTGTATACGGGAAGCCGCCTGATCATACCAGGAATTTTCTCTGGGGTTCGCGGCGTGTAGATTACTTGTCCACATTTTTTAACCTACATTCTGTAAGGTATTGTTTTTTCTCAATAATAATTGACTCACTTGTTACTGTGATACTATCACTAATCACCTTCTTCGTTTTCATTAGAATAATTCAGCTTAAATTATTCTGTACTTTATGCTCAGAGTTGATTTTGATACTTTGATGACACGTTGTTTTTCACACATTGCCTTAATGCTTTTACCCAAACAGATGAATCGTTTTGCTCATATGATTGTTTTTGTTTGAAACTTGAGGATCATAGAGGTCCTGGTTCGAGTACTGCCTGCTTGTAGTCTCTTAAAAGCTGGGGTAGTCGACAGGAGGCTCGTCGCGCAGCGAGAAGGCAGGGACGCAGACGGATGGATCGGCGGGCGAGTGATAGGAGACGTACTATAGTACAGTCTATGTAACTTGACGCGAACATCGCTGTAGTACGCGTTGCGACTCGTCCACTGACTCGTCTGCGTCTGCTTTTTCGTCGGGCCTCTTGTCGGGGACCCCAGAAGCAATCCTGCGCGATTGCGAAGGCGTGAGGTTTGCGGCTGGAAGCTAAACGCATTATACATCTGGTAGGCGGACGATCAATAATGAAGTGATCAAGTAAAACTGCTGGAAAAACTTGGGAAGTATTCGCTGTTCTTGTGGTTGGAGATCGATGTTGACAGGAGGAAACTACCAATTAACAGGCTGCAGTGGTTGCATCGATCTCCGCCCACATGAGCTGCTCGCAAAGTGCTTTTGAAGTTTTTTGTAGCATTTCCATACCAAATCTACCCTAAGGTTGCAGTAATCCACAGCTGCGGAATCGCGGAAGCGGCCTCAAAGGTAACAATTACGATGGTGTGGTGGTGATGACAAGTTCGACAGCAGAGATGCAACATGGTGCGGCATGGAAGCAGAAGCTCGGATAAACTGTCGAAAACTCGACAACTAGAACAGGCACTCCGCGTAGATGCTGGACTTTTGCGTAAGTATACCGCAGCAGAATATAAGGCATTACGTGATTGCAGGATACGACTGCTTGATGCAATATGTACTTTCAAAATGAAGATCGAAATAATGAAAACGTCATCGCAAAAATCAATGACCACGCTTGGGGCCGGGTAACTCTGGGGCGGTGCGGTTCCGTGGGCTTGGAGCGTTACGGAAGGGAATGTGAGTAATTGCGGAGGATGAATGAAGTAATGTAGGAGGAGACAGGCCAAGCATAGTTTTTAGCGCCCCAAGGTTGGTGTTAAGTAAGTAAGAAATTAGTTGCAGTCATTCACAGAAGTATTATATATTCAAATACGTTTAGGAGTGGAGGTAATGAGACAAAGTTTTTTTTTTTCTTTGGAAATTTGGGAATTTTTTGATTAAAGGACGAATTCACGATGAAAAAGCAACCCATTTCAAATTAACCTAGGGATGGTGAGTGGTACACGAAAGAAGGAAGAACCATGAGAAACGGCCCAGAACCCGAGAAATGGGACCCCTTCCTTGCCCGTTGATTCGAGCATTGATGCGACTCTCATCGCTGTTCCTCAACCCGCCCCCCTCGCCACGTATTGAACTACGGCGAGTGATCAGATGATCGGTGGGCGGAGATCGCCGGACCCGCCAGCTTTGAGGCATGATAGGTCGCCGAGGTCAAATTTTTCCATGCGAATTGCGCGTCAGTTCGCACCCTCAGGAGGTCCGTGGGTCCCTCAACTAGGTCAGTTTCCCTTTCTTCGACCTTCATTCTAATCGTGAATTCCTCCTTTAAGCAAGAAGTGGCTAAAGTTAGGGGATTCGCCGCTTCAATGTATGAATCTCCTAATCCCACTGCCACCCCCGATGACTCTGGAAGGGCAAGGGCGGAATTGGAGTTGAGCATGTTGTTCAAGCATTTGTTTAGTCATAGAATCAAATACGATGGAAGCAGCCATGGTATGAGGGTGACATCACTTTCGACGATTCCCAAGGGAGGGGTGTTGTTAGAACCCGCCTTCACCATTCTCTTTAAGAGTGTGAATGGGTGGTGAAGGGTCGCTCGAACGCCTTTTAATGGGAGGTGGGGGGGGGAGGTGTGGCGTCGTTAAAGGAATCTTCCACGGACCATGGACCAGTGGGCGGGACCGGAAGTTTTTGTGACGAAATGCATGGTAGGTACGGATCCACGTGTCGAACGCACGAACGTGAACAGGATTCACTTCAAACCTTCCCATGAACGTGGATCCGTACCTACCATGCATTTCGTCGCAAAACCACTTCCGGTCCCGCCCACTGGTCCATGGTCCGTGGAAGATTCCTTTAAAGGCAAAGTTCGGGCTCAGACCCACTTAATGAGCCTTTACGGTGGCTAGAAGCGCTAGGCACGCAAGTGTATGGGTCGCGTCACTTCCCTACTTCGAAAACCGTTATTTAGACGCTAGGCTCTAAGAACTTTGACACGCTCCACCTGCTGCGACACGCTCCGCCCACCGCTCGATATCTTGACTGCGTCGGAATGTTGATCTGCTATGCTCTCTCTACTTAGACTTCTCTAGCGCTCTCCGCGCTCACATTATCTCTCATCTCCCTGCCGGCCTTTTGAACTTCTCCGCACCGTAGAGGAAATGGCTCGTATTTCCTAAGCATTTCACGATTTTCTTTTTCTCTTTTCTGCACTGGCGGTCCACTACCTACCCCTACTTTCACATTTAAGTGGAATTAACTCATAATTCAATCCTGAATCTTGCCTTTAAGTTTTCCTGAATGGACCACTTGGGACGTTGGCTCTGGTTACGGGCATGACACACATTGGTGTATCACGTTGGAGGCTAGAGAAAGTTCTCGAACCGATGGAATGTCTTCCAACGAATGCATATTGTAGTACACAAGAACGGTGTCAGCTAAATAGCAAGACGCTAGAGTGGAGCTGAAGACTTTTCAGCCCACACACAGTGCGGCTGATCAGTCCTGAAATAGCCAAAAGGATGCACTGAATTTGATAGAAGTTGAAGAGTTAAGAGAAAGGGAAAATGATAATGGGCTAATCGTTCTCTACGAAAACACGACTTATTTGGCATGACTGTGAGAGTTCATTTGGCATTCACAAGCTCGATGGAAGTCAGTAACTACTCGTATATGAATCCCGCTTTAGTGGAAAAGGGTCAGTTCTTTGTTCCTGTGATTACTTAGTTGATGGATGCAGACTTGGGTCGTCTATGATGTTGGAGGGGGAGGGGGAGGGGCATTCAGGTGAATAAGCTACTTACAGTATTTGGGACAAAGGTCAACCGTCCGTATTCTATACGTACGAGGAGGTCGCCCATGTGATGTCGGGAAGGGAGGGGGTCGCATTTTGGGGTCAATGTTGTCATAATGGGAACGGATGTTTGAGGGTGAAGGGATGTGTTCAAAGAGCTTACTAAGACTAATGGTGATGGTGGTTGGGTGGTGATGGGTCACATCGAGACATCTCTAAAGGGAGGAGGGGACGCAAAATTTTTGAAAAAGTGTGAACGTGACGGTAGTCCCTGCTTACGGGCCGAGGTTTAGAGAGGGGAAGAGATTCTGGAGGAGGATGTGGGCAATTCGTTATCCCTGCGTTTTTTTCCTGGGCTAGTGTCACTCCACCGAGGAGTCAAATGCCAATGTTTTGAATATCTCCATCGCTCCCGAACATACTGGCGCGTATCCTTTCGGTCGTACTATGTATTATGTGTTGAATACTCACACAAGCAAATTTCCTGGGAAATCTCATTTCGAAGAAAGGAGCTCCTGAGTCGGGAAGGAGCGGAATCCAGTATTGCTAAATCCATGTCTTTGAGAGGAGCTCGTCGTGTTTGTACGAAACAACGAAGACTTTCTGATCATTTCATTATATAAACCAGAACTTTGGTGTGTCGGTTTGTCGGTGTGTGTGTCGTTCTGTCCGTCCGGACCGACCGCTCACAAAACCAGGGAGTACGAAGGGCAACACTTCGTGATGTTGATGTCATGATCATGATAAACCCACAGCGGCTATATAAACACCGATCGAGCACACTCAGTCTCATTCTACATGGTGCTGCCGTGGCAGCCGGATGAGCGGGGGGGGGGGGGAGGGGTAGGAGGGAAGAGGGGCAGGAAAGGGAGGGCTGGAAGGGGAGGGGGAGAGGAGAAAGGGAGAGAATCCATGCGCCGGAGAGAAGGGGTATAAGGAGGTATAACACATTCAGTAGTGAGGTGGTTAATGGAGTACATAATATGCTGCCATTTTCCGTGGTTCCTCCCTACCCTGTGATGCGCGCGATAGCGGGCGGAGCAAACCTGGTAGTGTAAATAACGTCTGTAGGGGCTAATACTTACTAAGCTACTACTTGGAACCAATGCAAATAAAACTAATACCTCGTGGATTGGTGGCGTTTGGATACATCCTTGTCCGGCAAGCAGATGCTCTGCAATGCAAACTTAGCGCTATGCCATACAGATAAAGTAATAGCACTAGAAATCACATCTGACATTAGTCTCCATGTTACCCTTGTTGGAATCGGCATTATTGTTCAAACTGTCTAATTCTTC